ATGCTTGTAGCGACAGTGGATAGAATAAAGCAGAATGATGAAAAAGGGGTCCCTATGTCCTCCAGCAGTCTAAGCCTATAGCAGCAGAACTATAGAGATAGCTCAGGATAACCTGAGCCACTCTAACTAGAAGCTTTACTTTACTGCATTTCTAAGCTATTTAGCTCTGTGTTTGACGTAATAAATTAATCAGGCTGCACTTGATCATTTATTGGAGGGGGAGTGAATGAGACAATGATACATATACTGGCTGAGATTCATAGACCCATATGAAAGGACTCTTACCAATATGTTGTTTAGCTGTTGGAAAACCAGCGCTACTAGTAGATTGGTGATAGATGCTGCTGTAAAAACAGACCAGCTCAGGCACAGTGTGTGTGTTTGGCTTTTCTCAGCATGTGTCATAAACCCCCGGCAGCACACGATAACAAACCCCTGTCTAAACTAGCTTTTTCTTCCAGCCAGTGACTGTCCTGATTGGTTGGACTCGAGGCCCAGCTCGCCATTGGCTGTTTAATCATTCACTCGTAAAATAGGTCCTTTAATTACTGAGCAGTCCTGCCTATGGTGCTTTCTGCCCAGGCTTTAATTATTTAGGCTAACCAAAGAGTAAGAGATAGATCACTGACATAATGTTATTAAATAAAGGAGAAAGTTTTATCCTTATTTTAGCAAATCTAGATGTTTGATGTGATCAAGAGTCAAAGACTGAGCAATAAAACAGGTAAATGTACCGAACATTATGTCCTCTATTATGTCATTTATAGTTTTCCAGTCTTATGTCTTCTGTTTGCCCGTTTCTTCTTAACAGGAATTATTTTAAATATAAATGAATCAGCAACTCTTCTGTGTTTTGTTTTTTTTCCTAAATAAAGGAGCAAAGCGGATCTTTATTAGAGTCAAACTTCTGATGTCGCTTCTGCGTTCAGGTCTGCGTTTTTATTCCCTCATAACCAAATCCAATTGCTGCTCAAATCTATCTAGGACTTAAACATTTAATCAAATTAATTGTAATTAATTGATTAATTTAGGCCTCTGTCATGCCTGTAGCTGACAGAGTGACCTATTTAGAGCATAAATTATACCAAAACTGTAAAAAAACAAAACAATTATATATATAAAATTTTGTATTTCAGATAAAAATTATTTCATTTTCAAATTTATTTTAATTGAAACTCCAATATAATATTTTATCTCCATTCACTTTTTTTCTTTTTTATCTTATGTTCCTTAACTGTGATTCCTGAACAGCACTTTGGTCGTTTTAAATGTGCTTTAGAAATAAAGTTTGAGTTGAGTTGAGCTGAAAAAAACATTTTTGTCTGTCAATCTGCTCTATCCAGAACCCCTCCAGTGGGAGGAACATTTGGTTATCCAATAATTAAATGATTAATCGACAGATGAATGGATTTGCAACCAGAACCACACCTTAGAAATCCCTGAAATGCATCATTTCTGGGCTCAGCATTGGCTGCTGAACACAGAGCGTGTGTTGATGCCCAGTAGATGTCCTACCCTGCAATGGCCAGTAGGAGGAGCCGCATATGGAACCGAGGCTCCGACCCTCTGGTCAATAATTACATCATAATGCATGGCCTGTTCATCATCAGAGAAAGCATTAGCAGCCATTATCCCAGCGCACCTGCGACTGGAGGAGCAACCAATCAGAGGAAACAAAGACAAGCAGCATGTCATTAAGGCCTGTGGTTTTTCAAAACATCAAAACTTATTTGATAGTGGAAATGATTAAAAGGTTGTTTGGAATGACATAAAATGTTGTTTTTAAATAAGTCGTATTTATTTAGTCACGCTGGGTAGTTTAATGAAGGACTAATTACCAATATTTGTTAGATCCTAAAGAGAAAACCCCCAAAGCGTTAAAGACTAGAACATTATTTAACTCTTTATTTACATTTTAGTCACTATTAAGAGCCGCTGTAGAGGGTCCAAAGAGCCGCATGTGGCTTTGAAGCCGCATGTTTGCAGACCCCTCGTCTAGAAGTACAGCTAAGAGCTGCAGAGCCAGACTGCGGACTCATTTTCTATCATCTTCAGTGAGATCCGCACTCCCAGATGTTAAAGTCGTGTTCTGTGTGTCCTTATGTTCAGAGACTTTATCGTAAATGAAAGGTCTCACCGTGGCAGCTTTAGTTTGGTCTTCCTGAAGCATCAGGATTTCCATTTAATCTGTTTGGGATGGGACCATCCAGGACGCAGAGCTCTGACATTTCTCTGCTCAGTTTCACCAAACAGAACGATCCTGTAGGACAGTAACGTCGCAGTCAATTCCTTCCTTTGTGTGCAACTCTAAAACCATGTCAACCGGGCCTCATTTGGGGCCTTGGATCATTTCCCCGGAGGCTAAAACAATGAGAGCCATTCTGCCATATCCTGGGCTGTCCTAAAGCCTGGCAAACACACACATGCCTGTCATTTCTCATTTGTCTGCTTAATTATAGCATTACCAAATTTCATTTTCTCTGCTGCTCCCATGAAATAACATTATGTGCTTCAACACGTCTGCTTCAGTCGTTATCTCCCTTATCTCTGCTTCTTCCTTTTAAATTCACATTTCCTGAGATCGTTGGCAGATATTTCATTTTCTACTATCCATGTTTTTATTTTTGAAATGGAAAATAAATGGAAATGTCAGCTCTTCCTGACAGCATGATGTTAAAATGATGCCTGGTGTTTGTTTCTGGAGCTTTGATGGTTCCTCCCTCCACTTCCAGCATGTTCTTTATGAACGTTTGCTGTACAACTGTGATTCCCATCAGGAGGAACTCGTTTTGCTTTGTGAGGACCCAATTGAAAAATTAAACAAGCATTTATCAAGTTTTTCTTATATGTCTGAGTTCACCTTCGGCTTTGACACACAAAAAATGTTTTTTATTTTATAATCAGTTATTGTGCGTTCCACTTTTGGCCAATCATCAATACTTGCCCAAAGAAAGGAGGAACCCTGATTGAAGGAAACGGGACGATTTAGCTAAAAATCTAAATTACGATTATTTTCAGACAATATTGCGATCTTCCTTTGCCCTAAGCACAAGCTTGTGGATGTTTTCCTCCAGAGTTCGAGTTTTTCTGTGAATTTAAATCCTGCTTGTTCAGAATCCAGTGCTGCAGGACTTCACAGTAACATCTGCATTAAAAAAGTTCTTCCTTCTACTATAATGCATAGATCTATGTGCTAGCTGCAGCTCTCTGCTCCCTTCTGTGCAACAGCACCCCCTCTTTAATTGTATTACCGCCACCTTAGTCTGTGCAATTTGACAATTGAATTTTTTTAAATTGCACTTTATTGCAGATGCAGCTAATTGTCCAGCCATAGTAGGAACTCTCTCTTCTATCGAAGATATATATATATATATATTAGTTTTACAAAGATGGAGATGAAACTTAAAGACGGTCACTGGTTTTCAAAGGTGCTTCGCCAAAATGGAGTAAAAGTAATGGTTACAACTTTATAATAAGTATAATAAGTACAAAAAACATGTTTTTTAAAATTATTTCGATAATATAATAACTTGTGGTAGAATAAAAAGATCCAGCTGAAACTTTTCTGTGTAAAATGTTCCGTTCTCTGAACTCCAGCATTCATCCGGTCCAAAAAGGCTAAAAGTTCTGGTGGACGTTGGTTCTGGTACCAGAGAGATGAAGAGGTCTGCTGGGTCACACACTGACTGCGGCTCACAGAAGTTGTCTTACGACTGGAAAAGTTGCGGGTTTGATTCCAGCTTCGCAGACATTCATAAATGTTCCGGTTCTGATCCGAACAGCAGAACTCTGTGGTCAGCGAGGCTAGAAAAACGGCATTTCATAGAGATTCGTTCAGTTCAGTTCACCCAGAAGCCGCTGGTGTTGAACTGGTGGAAGGATGTGACTGTACTGGGGTGTCTGAATGTAAATAAAGAAGAGAAAATCCCGTTTTTGACCCACAATGCGGAAATAAAAAAAAGAAATATAGCCGAATATAAAGCAGGGGAAATCCTGACTGCATCAGTGGATGGGAAGGACAGGTTACTTCATAACCTGTTCTGTGTGTTTGTGTTTGATCTGGTCCTGCAGTGAGATGTCACCTGGATGCAAGAAGGAGCAACAGAAATAAGACAGAGCTGCTTCCAAATGCTCCAGGTCCGGTTCTGACGAGTCCCCGTCTCTCCGAGTCCCAACAGCCGATGGCCAGCTGAGGTAACAGGGAACCTTTGGCTTCTGCAAACATTTGGGAAAAGCTTTAGTGGAGCCAGCAGAACATTAGCTGCTGTCACTACCCGATCCGTGTCACCATCTGCAACAAGATAAACATCTGAGTCGCCCTCGATTTTACTTTAAAAGACCTAAATTACATTTTCCCCTCCTTTAAAATAGTAAATGTACTAAATTATGTGTTTAAGGTTTAATAATGTATTTTCTGAGAAAATAAACGGCTTAAAATCCTTTCTGTTTTCTCCCGATCTGTACAGGAAACAGAAACCTACTAACTTTTTAAACATAAAAATAGTCTTTTTGAGTTTTATTTATTCCTTTGATGTTAACCTTATGGTATTACAACAGAGTATTAAGTCCAGGCTAGAGATTTGTATGGCTTTTGTAATCCAAGAGTCGTAACATTATGATAATAAAATGATAATATTATGAGAATAAAGTCCTAATAGTATATAAATCATAAGATTAGGAGAATAAATATGCAAATTTATGATAATAAGTAAATTTGCAACTCTATTATCGTAGATTTATGGGAATCAAGTCGTAATATGACGAGAATAAAGTGTTAAATTTATGAGAATAAAGTCCGACTGTTACTAGAATAAATTTGTAATATTTCAAGAATAAAAATTATAAGCGTACGAGAATAAAAAAAGAGTTGTAAATTTACAAGAATAAAGTAAATTTACAACTTTATTTAGTCGTAACATTATTAGAATAAAATTGTAATTTACGACAATAAAATTCTATTTTATTTGATTAAGTTTAGTTTATTTCTATAGCTCCAATTCACATCATGTCATCTCAGGTCACTTTCCAGTTCACCAGATCATCCAGTCAGATTGATTCAAAGTTTTCT